AATTCTCTCACCCTCCCGCACTTCTCACTGTACCCAGTGCTTGTATAAATAAATAAATCTTTAAAAAAAAAAAAAAAAAAGATTTATCATGTGTGATCAGTTTCCACACATGCTTTGGGTATATGTGAAAAGTGTATCCCCCAATTGTATTGTTGAGTATCATGCGCCTTAGATCAGACTTATTGTGCTGTGCAGATTTTTCTTACTGATTTAGAGTACTTATTAATACTAACTGAAGAGTCTTGAGATGTCATTGTAATAAATTTCTCCACTTCTCTTGAAGTTGTATTTGCTGTCGTTTTCTTTTGGCTTTATTATTTTACAACTTTTCTCTTTCTTGGTGAATTGAACCTTTTATAATAATCATAAAGCGATTGTTGATAAATGCTATTTCCTTCATTTTTATGACTTACTATAGCAGTATTTTGCCTAGTCTTTAGCTGAATATTTTAGATCTTTCTTTAGCCTTATATTTTGAGTTTACAGGAAACACACTTGAAAAATATGAGACCTAAGAAAAGCTTTTTAACTGGATGCGTTTATATTTATCATGATTACAAATGTAAGTTGGATTAATTCTAGGTTCTTGTCATAAATTATGTTGTTTTTGCTTTTGATATTTTTGTTCACTGCCCCCTAACTTATCTTTCTTTTTTTATTTTACTTTTATTCCCCCCTCCTCTATTTGCTGGATTTTAATTTTCAGTTATATTTTTTCATGAATTATGTTTGTTGTAAATCTTTTGTTCTGTGCAAGTTTTTGCTCCTAATTCATGTTTGTCATGCTTTTATTCCTTTGTCATTAATTTTTCTTATGCTCATGCCAATATTAAGTCTTTGTGGGTGATTCTATCATATAAACTGTTGTTTTTCACTCATGGTGCCATTTCCCCTTCAATTTTGTGACATTTTGAACTTATTTTGCTTAGCAAATATGGACTGAAGCTGAGATCCTTGAAAGAATTTGTTCCGCCAGATACCCAAGTGCTACCAATGTGAGACCACTTTTAAATTATCAGCTTGAAAGTTATGATCACAGAGCACATACCATGAAGGCTGCCTGTGATTATGGATGTGGGGATGATGGTGACTTATCCCTTCTGCCCAGCACCAAGCTTGAGGAAGGCAAGGTCCTTGCTGCCCACTTCCGTGGCCCTCCCGTATGAACTCCAGCCTAGGTGAGCCTTTGGCTTTCTGTCCAGTTTCCCTTCTGCTGCTACCCAGAGTTCAACAGAGCTCTCAGGGCAAAAGCAGGCTTTGGAGGTGTGCTTCCTGTCTTCATTTTGGGAATTTTGCAGATGCCTTACTTTCATGTCAACTCAGTGATACATTTTAAAAGCTACTTTGTTATTATTTACATTATTTCCCAGATCTTATTCATCATGTTTTGTTGTTTTTAAAAAGCCAGCAGTTGTTGAGGGTGTCTAGACCGCCTCTCAAAAATGAAGTTTAAATTAAAATTGTTTTATATATGCCCTTGCTGTGAGTAGGAAATGTGGTAGTTTGTAGTTTATGTAGTTTCAGGGTGCCTAGTTCTTTCCTTTGCACTGTCCCATAGAGCACTTCCGTGGCATGTAGGCTGCTACTTGGCAAGGATAAATGTACAGAAAGAAACCATTTTTTAAGCCATACCCTCCTCCAAAGCAAGGAATTACTCTACCATTTCCTTAAATGATTGTCAGTCTGAATATTGCTCCTTTGTGTTATTAGTGATTGTTTTGGTATAAAAAAGGGTTTGGACTTGGTTCCTTCTAACCCTATTGCTGGGATTATGTATGCTTGAATGCGCCTTCTTGGCATACCTGTTCTGACTGAAAGGCACTGTCTGTTATGACTTGTCTTTGCCCAGCAATTTGTTTTCAACCAATTACCCAGTGTTTAAAGTTCAGAAACATCTTTCATTCAGAAGTACTCTGAAATTGAGCCCTGGAACACAGGTGTAAAGTAAAACGCAAAACAGTTACTGTTTGCTCTTAGAGAACACTCAAGACCTCGATTACCTCTTGGCGAGACACGTTTGTGCTGTATAGTCAGAATCTTCAAATCTTACAGTTTTGTGGTAGAAAGAGGAATGACCTATTAACTTGTAATTTTCACCCCTAACACATGACCATTACTTCCTACAGACAGCACCAGTTCATATTCTACTGACTTTATTTGGCGTGCTTGCTGGCATTAACATTGGCAAAGGAGTTCTTACAATACAGGGCCTCATGTAGATACCTATTTTAATATGCAGGGCAAAGGGAAAGTCTCAGCAGTAAGGTCAGGGAAGCTGTGAGTGTATTATTAGGTGAGCTTGTCTTGAAGGGTGACGGCCAGAAGCCAGAGAAATGAATCCATCTCAGTCCCATTGGTGACCCGTGATTTAAAGGGTTTCTGCCTTATGGTTTTAAAATCCCTAAAACCAGGGATAAAAAGCAGTATAGTCTTGAAATACCTAAGGGGCACAGGAGATTAGCGATCAGGGTGACTGGAGCACAAGCTAGACGTGGTCAAGAAAGGAAAGGAACGTATCCCGTCTAAGACAAACCATACATTAAAACTGAGTATTCTTCAGTGAGTGCAGCTCCATGAAAAACAAAGCTCATGGGGTTCTTCTCTTTTTTTGACATGAACACACTAGATGACTTAATGTGAACTTCAGGTCAATATATAAAATTATATAAATTGTCTAGTTTTTAAGAGACCAAAAATAGGCATCTAAAATAGCTTTTGGTAGAGAGCTTACACAAGAGCACTTGAGTTACTCAGTATTTTTCACATAAAGTAAGAAATGTCTTGTTCTGGACTGTTAATAACTTTCCTTAAGAAGAAAAAGTGTATTTTTTAGTTTTGTACTGCAGGATTTCATTTTTGGCAAATGGTAGAAACTATTCTCCCCCTTTCTCATGCCTATTTGCTGCTGCTGTAGAATTTATTTTACTTCGAGCCTCATAAACCTGTTCAATTAGCGTTATTAAAGGTAATTGGTATTCTTCTAACTCATTAATAGCAGCTCAGAAAACAGCCCATAAGACATGTTTTTGAAGAAAGGAAAATATTGTATAGCTACTACACTGTAAGAAGAAAAGAAATACGGATAATCTAAAACAAAATTATATCCAAGTAAATGATATTAGGAAAGTAGCATAAAAAAAGTTCTCTCTGGACTAAAACCTCTCGGTTATGATGAGGCAGTGAGAGGACAGATAGAAGTGGTTCAGTTCTCTTCTATGACTTAGTCAATGATAGTCATTTTTTAGATACTCATAAGAGCAGAATATAAAAAGTTACTTTTAAAAAACATGTTTAGATTAATGTAGGAGCTTATATACTTAAGAAGGTCCAGCGGGGGAAGATGTCATTCAATAAAATGCTACACAGGCCAAGTAACAGGCCAGAACGACCTCTCACATGCATAAAAGGGGATCGTGTATGTGGTATATGCCAGTGTTCATTATCAGTGCCTTCCTAGTTCAAAGTATGAAGGCCATATAACCCAGTTGACCTGATTTCACCTACTCTAAAGTACTGCTAGCAAATTACTAAATTTAGAAATTTCTTTTATTATCCCTTGATACAAATTTTAATGTCTAATGCCTTTCCTGATTCTTAAACATAATCCAACAATGAAACTGATTTTTTTTAAGACATGGTATATATATATTTTTTAAGACACCTTACTGCCTGGGTCAAATGGAAGATAGTTCAGAAATACATTATCTATTAAACCTTTAATTTTGTATATCTGTTAAGCCTAGTAATTCTACTTCCAAGAATTTAAGAAAATGGCCATGGATGTACACAAGATTTGGTGAAGTGTTGTTTATAACTGTTAAAAGGTGTAAACAATTAAATGTCCCGCAGAGTATTAAATAAATTACGGTTCAGCCATACAAAAGAATAAGTGGAAAAAAATAGAAGATTATATAGTAATCTGGGAAAGATGTTCACAATATATTAAGTGAAACAACAGGTTACAAAACAGTATGCAAATGGGAGCTCATTTTTTATAAAAATATACATAATTAGCAAAGTAAAAGGGCAAATGATATTTACCAAATTATTAACATCGGTTATTTCCACACAGTAGATGTAGGTTGATTTTGATTAAGCAACCCCTTTTTTTGACTATTTGAATTTTCTGTGAAGAAAATTATTTTTTAAATGGGAGGGTAGTGAGGGAATTACTAACCCCATATTAGTTCACACACGCCCCAAAGACTGCTGGCAAAGCACATGTTTCTGTTCAACCTGTATCAGGAAACTGCTTCTACCTTATAAATTTTAGTGTCCTTCCAAGATGTTGTTCACTCAACTCCATTTTAGGCAAACTATACAATAGCAATTGCTGATTAAATAAAAAAAAAAAAACCCACTTATTATCATCAAAAAAGAATGAGAAAATACAGATCCTCAGTTTAAAAGAGGAAGAACCCAAGTACATATCACTAAATTATACAAAGTTACATTATCTAAGTTGAGTTTATTGCAAAGATCAAGACAGCACACTGGAAGTTGGCAGCTTCTGGTTCACACCGTTCACAGCACTCACTCTATTCTCTGTCTCATTCACTCACCCATGCACAAAAAGGTCTGTTTACACACAATGATGTCTGATGTTTCTCAGTTCTCATAGTATAATAGAAACTTGACATTCCAATGAAAAAGTAAAATGAGGACATTGATCATCAGACTATAAAATTCCTTTTTTTGAAGATACTGTAGTATTTGAAGATATGCTTTGGAGAAATCCTATACAAAACAAAGGAGGACCATTTCAAGAGCACTACGACTACATTAAACTCAGATGAATTCCACACGCATAATAATGTAACTCAAAAACAAATTTAGTCTTAACAAAAGCTCCAAGAAACTCAAATGGTCTTAGCAGGCACAATGACCAGTGTGAACACTGTAACGGGTACCAGGTTTCCACAGGGCAGATACTTGCTTCTGCATTCACACTTAATCTTTCAGGTACATTTTTTAAAAAATGGTGCTGCTTAAGCTATGAATGTTTTACCAAAAATTATTTTTAATAAATATGGCAAATGCTAAAAATCTAGCCAGGTTATCATGCACGATATTATATATAACCAAGACAAACTCAAATTTATAATAAAGGCAACTTGCATTCAAAATGAACTCTACCCTTATATTTTATTAAAAGGGCAAACATCATGAGTTGACCCCGCTGCTTGCTTGAATTACAAAAGTAACATGATTCAATATGAAAATAAGAAACTGTCTACAAATCTCTGACAGTAATAAATTGCAATATACAATGCATACAGGAATCATACAGAGCAACAAACTCTCGTACAAAACAAAAATATTTTAATACCTTTAAAATCCAAATTTTTCTTTTAAAATCATTCATGAAAAAGATTCTCAAGTCAGAATTAACACCTCAATTAGTCAAGCATTAGGAAGCTACATTACAGCTATTTAATATACAAAGAGACATCTTTTCACCAGTCATTTTCTTCTTGTCTCTGTCCCAGAATCACACAGACTCTCTTGCCTCTCTACACGCTCCACGCCATCATTTCTTCAGATCATGAGAACTGAATTTGTTGAACACCGGATATCTAAGATTAGAAAATTTAAATTGAACAGAATTAAAAAGTTTAAAAATAACATTCAAAGAATAAAAATTGACAATGAAAATTCTACTTCCCACCCCAAATCTCTAGTCTCTCTATCCAAAGGAGCTACTTTAATAATTTATGTATCTTTCCTGAAATTTCTTATATAAAAACGAACATTATATATTTTTAACCACTAAGAGAATACTATATAGTTACAGACTTTGAAAAAACTAATTTCATCAACCTTCTTTAACAGACTCAATATACTGTACTGAATTTACCTTTGATAAAAATGAATGGACATAATCCATTTTTTAAACAACTTAATACACCCAGAAGGTAGTGTACCTGTTGATAGGATGTTGTGTAAACCATAACATTTTGTTGTTGACCATCTGCAGTTATTAAGCCAGCTGGTAACTGGTTAGCTAAGAGACAAAAAAAGAAAGTTAAAGCAGGAAAAGAACTGTATCTAATTTTTTGGCCTGCCTCATTACAATTCTGCCACTTACCAATGTAATATAGGCAAAATCATGAACCCCAAAGTTTTCCATTAAAAAAACTCCCTAACTATCCATGTAGAAAGACTGGATAGAAATTCTGATTTGTGGATAGATCTACCCCATGAGGGTTGCTGGGACCACACTTATACAACTAAGCAGCATATATTTTGCATATAAAAGGTCTACACACCTTTCATTTCACTGATGTGACAATATGGCACTCAATTTTTAAGGAAACCTTTGTTCGAATTTATTTAAATCACTATTTTATATTATAAACTATAATGCTTCATATTCTTATCTCAAATGAATTTTAAACCAAAAACTAGGGGCTATGTAAATCAGAACTACCAATGAAATTCTGTTTGCAGAATTAAGATGTCTGTATTTCTCCCTCACTGACATCAACTGTAAGGGTATTAACTAACAGGAATATTTCAAAATAGTGCTGCAAAATTCTCAGCACTAATATTCCAAAAGTACCACTCAGATATTTAGTATTAATCACTGCTAACAATCTACATGACTTGTAAGAATAAATTTAGCTGCATAAATGCAGTAATACTGCTTACTAAATGCCTCCTCTGTTAGCTCTTCACTTAGTCCATCTGTAGCTGTGACTGTTCCACCAATTCCTTTTTCTCCTTTCATAGCCTGGGGAAGGAAAAGCAAATAAATAATCACTGGTATTCACGAGAAACTGTTTTCTAAATGAGAATGCTTATTTCCTAAAATTAGGAGCTTTTATTATTACAAACAATACACAGAGTGTTTATTAACGCTTCTGGTTAATAACATATGAAAAGGCTTTTCAAAATGCTAACTTTTTATGTAAGCAGATCAGAAGACAAATTACAAAACAGTAATGTCTGAGAAAAAACTAAAATATTTATGAGTAAAATTAATGATTCTATTTCCACACTAAATCAAAAAGAAAACAAAAATCTATAATGTAGTCTGCAAAAAGCTACTCAGCTTACAAATCTACCATAAATATCCAAGTTGAATTTAGTTATATAGATAGTACAGCTAGCTCTCAGCAAACTGAGCAGTACTGTAGCAACAATTCTACAGCAACAAGTTCAGAATTTAAAATTCCTAAATCAAAGATCTAAGTGTCTTTCTACTGTAAGGTGAGATGCTGCTGAATATTTGGAAAAATACTCTGAAGAATTTATACATTTTTTTCCTCTTTTAACCATTCCATGCAGGCATCACTAATTTAATGGGATTCTAACACTAAAGATATTAGAAAGAAAAGTAGTATCAATATACTACTTGTGGTGTAATGTGGAAATATACTGATCTCAACTCATTTTCACAAAACTCTTATCACAGGCAAAGATAAACCAGATGAGAAATGAAGAATTCAATCAGTAATAAGGGATAAAATTATAACTGCCTCTTTTATATATAAAAAAAAGTTGAAAGCTTTGAGATGCTAACCCTTGTTAATAACAACAGCATGTACTGACATTACTTAGTAAAGCTAATAGCCAAGTGCTGTACATGGATTGTTTACTTAGTTCACCCAGGAAATAAAGGCCTAGAGACAAGAATCTGCCCACAGTCAGTTAACATGTGGTAGAGCTGGGATTCAGCCTTCAGGTGCTCTTAATCATTACATAACTATGCTGTCTTAATAACAAACAAAGGAAAAACGAAACGGCTTACTATTTTAGTAATCTAAGTAATTACATAGTTCTTCTGAGAGGTTACATAATTTGCTATAAAGTGAACTCTTTAACAAATAATACATTTGAAAATTTATAGTGTATCTTTATTTTCTTAAGAGCATAATGGGAGACATTTTACTTACTTCTCTGAATTTCTGAAGGTATAATTTTAGAGGTTCTACGTAACTGTCAAAGCCTAAGGTAGACATGGCAAAGAGAATATCTTCTCCGTTGATTGTCTTCCGTTTCTCTTGATGGCATCTTTCACTGGCTTCTGACGTTATAAAGCTGATGAACTCACTCACACATTCTTGAACACATTCTTTGGCATCTTTTGCAATCTGAAAAGAAAAATCATAATTTTGCAGGAAATATAATCATCCCCTTTCTAAAAACCTGCAAAAGTAAAAGGCTATTCAGAAGAACACAAATTTCAGTTTATGACTGTTGACCTTCAATTAGTCTTTGAAATTAACAGAGTACATGATCAAAATTCCAAGTCTTGGAATGAGAATAAAAGTTCAAATATATGTGAGGGAAGCCTTGACAGTTTTCACAGAAAATATACACGTAATTTAGGTATAAAAGCAACCACTGGATGCCCCTCTCACCCCCAGAAAGATATAAACTCTACTAACCAAGTGCCCCAGAAAATCAACCCATCGTACATGTAGGTACTAGGGGCTACAGATCAGGTACTACCTTTCTGTCCTGGCACTTCCATGAATAAGGACACCAGGAAACTTAAAAACCAAAACACTAAATTTCACTTACAAAGAGTGAAGTAATGACATCTGGTGACATTTTTACTACTGAAGATACAAAGTGACAAGGGTTTGAGTTTGTTAAAAGTTTCACTAACAAAGCTTATGCTTGCTACCTCATTGTAAGAACAATTCCTCTAAAAGTCTGAGATCTGAAAGTAAAACTCCAATGCATTAAATCATACAATTCCAAAGTCACTTCTAACAGGAATGATACTCAAATCCCTTGCTGAAATGTACTGTCTTTACCTCGTCTAGTTTACATCCTAGAAAAAAGTAAGCAAGAGTTGTATAAATGCAGTCAAGCAAGATATAATGCAAACTGTATGAATGTAACTTTAGATTTTCTAGTGGTCATGTTAAAAAAAATAAGTGAAATTAATTTTAATACTATTTAATCCAACAAATCCAAAGCCTTCAGAATTTGTATTTTAAATTCACACATCTTACTTTAGATTAGCATGTTTGCTGTCCTCAGTACAGGTTGCTAGGGGCTAGGGTACTTGACAGGATGAGCATAGTCCAGTTAAGCAATAATCAGCAGTTGCACTTTTGTTTCTTAAAACATTAGGAGGACTTCAAATTGGCTTATTGATGTATTTTGATAATATATTTATGAGCTTTACTATTTCATAAGTACTTTATAAGTCACCATAAAATGGTAGAAAAGTTTAATATGCAATACAAAATATAAAAACTGAATTTTAGTTCATATCAAGTGATGAAACAGAATGACAATGTTTTTATTTTTTTAATTTTTTGAAGATTTATTTATGCATACAAGAACTGGGGTACAGGCCAGAGGTGTGGGGTGGTGGGTGTGAGGATTTACCAGACACAGAGTGGGGAAAAGAACAGGTGAATTGACTGAAATACACTGCTGAGGGGAGCAGCGGGCAAGTCAGGAGAGGTCTGCTGCACCATGTGGGTAGCTCTCTGGCCGGGGATGGAACTTGTGTTGCAGTGGCTGCCGATAGCTTCATAGGTTGTGTCTTAACCCCTTGTACCACCAGGGAGGCCCGACAATGAGGTTTTTTTTTCCTTTTTTTTTTTTAAAGATTTATTTATTTATTTATTTATTTATCTATTTATTTATTTATTTATACAAGCACTGGGTACAGTCAGAAGCACGGGAGGGTGAGAGAATTCACCAGAGCCAGAGCGGGGAGCAGAGCAGGCAGAAGGAGCGAAGTACACTGCTGAGGGGAGCAGCGGGCGGCAGGAGAGGTCTGCGCGCCATGTGGGACCCTCCTCCAGTGGCCTGGGAGCAGCTGAGGATCGAACCCGCGCTGCAGAGGCTGCGGGCAGCTTTGCAACCCAGCGCTCAACTGCTGCACCACCAGGGAGGCCCCCGACAATGAGTTTTTAAAAGTTGTTCTAACATTGGGCCTCCCTGGTGGTGCAAGGGGTTAAGTCTCAGCATTATGAAGCTACCTGCAACCTGCATGAGTTCAATCCCCAGCTAGGGATTACCTATACGGTGCAGACCTCTCCTGTCTCGCCCGCTGCTCCCCTCAGCAGTGTATTTCAGTAGATATCCCTCCTGTTCTGCTCGTCTCTGGTGAATCCTTTCACCGCCCCCCTGCCCCTTGCATTTCTGGCCTACACCCCAGCTCTTGTATGTATAAATGAAAAAAAAAATAAAGCTGTTGTAACAGGACAAAACTAGTTTCAAAAAAAAAAAATCAGGGCTTCCCCTGGTGGCGCAGTGGTTGAGCGCTGGGTTGCGAAGCTGCCTGCAGCCTCTGCAGCGCTGGTTCGATCTCCAGCCACCGGCGAGGGCCCCACATGGCAAGCAGACCTCTCCTGCCATGCCGGCTGCTCCCCTCAGCAGTATACTTTGTCAGTCTGCCTGCTCTGTTCCCCACTCTGGCTCTGGTGAATTCTCTCACCCTCATGCACTTCTGACTGTACCCAGTGCTTGTATAAATAAATAAATAAATCTTTAAAAAAAAATACCAGTTGAATATATTATTATTATTATTTTTTTTTGCGTAGAAGAACTAGAATGTAGGCCAGAGGCACAGGTTGTAAGAGGATTCACTAGAGACAAAGTGGGGAGCAGAACAGGCAGATCTACTGAAATATACTGCCAAGGGGAGCAGTGGGCGAGACAGGAGAGGTCTCCTGCACCATATGTTCGATCCCTGGCCGGGGATTGAACTCAGGCCATAGTGGTGATAGTGCTGGGACTTAACCCCTAAGCCACCAAGGAGGCCCCATACCCGTTGAATTTAAATGAATGTTACTCTCCATAATTATATAAAATAAATGTTTCCAAATATCTTATTGGAAAATCCTTACTACATCCATGTCAGTCCAGTATGATCCAATTTTGCTGCAAACATTATAGAAGTTACAACTTCATATGCCCAAACCTGATAATTCTGACAATGCACCTTTTTAAGAAAGATTCTTAATTCTATTTTATCTACTTCCAATAAGGGTGGGAGTGGGGGACTGGGGGAAACATTTGGGGATAAAACAAAACTGAAAATAAAACACTGGTAACCAAGTATGTAGAATTGAAAGAAATATTTGATTTGCTGAATAGCTGAACGACTGAAATCAAAACTATTCATGAGGTACATACTCAGTAGTTTTACATGCCACCCCTACAGAAAGAATCCAGTTAAATTTCTTCTCTGTATTACCTTTCCTGTTTGAGGTATGGCATTTTTCATTATCCTTGCCACATTTGCAATTGGAAGATATATATCTTGTTCTCTGAAACTTTCTTTTGAACCATTTGTGTCTTCATGATCATTTATGCTGTCTTCAGTATCTAAAGAAGTAAAAATAATTTAGGTTTAAAGCATTTCATAAGCTTTACTTACAGATACAGAAGACTACCTGAAATGACCTAAGATAATTCAGGGTCATTTCCTAATCTTTTTTCCGGGATTACGACAGTAGTTCTTTTCAGTTTTCTCAGTGCCAGATCTAGTCCTACTCTTTTATTTCAAACTCACTGCCTAGAGGACTTTTATCCTCATCTCTGCCTACCAAATCCTATCCACCCATCCTCAAAAAGCTCAGAGATAGCAGCTTCAAAAGTGACTTCCCCTTTCACAAAATATCAAAATGCTTCTGTGTCTTTTATCTGACACATTATAATTCTTCTTATTTCTCATCCCCCCCATTAGATTATTTTCTGCTTGAGGCTAGGGATTCAATCAGCTTCGTGTCCTTCCCTGAACAAGGAACAGCACCTTAAATAGAGGAAGTGGCTAATAAATCTTTGTTGCAGGCTTAGCTTTAAAACATATAGACTATGACCTATGACCCCTTGGCATTATTGCTTGATAAAGCAGATGTTTGTCCAGAGTCAGGTTTACATTACATGGAAAAGCTGGACTTGCAAATTACTCATGCAATTAGATTACTACTGTAATGGTTTCTGAACGAAGCTCTAGCAGTAATCTAATAAAGTGAATTTTCAAATTATACAGATTTAGACATAACTGAAAATTTCATAGTACCAATAATATTTTAATGACTAAATGTAGTATTTTGTAAGTAAATTTCCAATTCTTTATATGTATTATAAATAAGATAACTAAGCTGCCTCAATTTATATTATTTTTATATGTTTAAAATTATGTTATGAAAATTAACTTGTTCATCTGTTACAGGATGGAGTAACTTCTCTATAGTAACTTCTATAAAAATATATCTTAATTTTTTTTATCTTAAAATTCAGAATGCCACAAGAGCCACTTATTTCTGACAGCAACATAATACTGCCATTCTAATACCTGACAGAGTTCAAGCTTAATATTAAATGAAAAACAAAACTAAGTCTATTCATAGGTACTAGACAAGTAACATTCAAGGCACCCTCTAAAGAGCTATTATTTACTGTACCAAATGAGTAAGAATTTGCCATACTTGACACATAAAAAGGAAGTCAGTAACACATTTTTAAAGAAACTAACAGCTTTAAAAGGCACACTTTCATAAAATTCTTTTCCAGAACTCAATACTCCTGTATTTCTAGTAAAAAGACACTTTTTTAGACTCACTGAACTATATGACACAAGATTGCTAAATTTCCTGTGAAGACAAAAGTTATCTAGAACTTCTTATTAATACCCACTTTCTGACTTGTTTTACTTATGAACTTGTTTTTGATTGTGACTTTCTTACCATCATGTGGCTGTATAACATAATGGCTTCCTCCAATATAGTCTGCAGAAATTCCTAGCTGAGAAGCATCTGTTGTGGAACTATCACCATCCATCTATGAAGGGGAAAAAAAAAGGTTTTCAATGCTCTTCATAAAACTTGTCTAACATACAAGAGTTAATGCTCAAGCTGTCATAGGATGGGTCAATTACATTTTTATGTCAATTATACTTTTCATAGTCTTAAGTTTGCTAAAAGGAAATATTTATGTTTCTTGATTTGGAGTTTTGATAATTTGCCAGCTCTTTAAGATTCCCTCCATGAATGCCACAAGCATAAGACCAACAGGGAAACAAAGCAAAGGAATCTAAAACACGCGCCTTTCTTTTCAGTTGCATAATCCTCAAATATAGTGCAGGCTACCCAGACTTACAACCTAACTATCCCTAGAATGACGAACAAAACCAAAATCAGCTTAGTAGTCAACCTGGAAGTGACTTACAGTCATCACTTTCTGGTCCCCTGCTACAGTCTGATATTCCAATGCAAACCTTTCTGCTTCTGGCAGCAAACTTTCTTTGCTGTCTCACAAATAATGTCTTTTTTTTTCTTTAAAGATTTACTTATTCACACATACAAGAACCGGGGTACAGGCCAGATGTGCAAGAGGGTGATAGGATTCACCAGAGACAAAGTGGGGAACAGAACAGGCAGACTGACTGAAATACACTGTTGAGGGGAGCAGCGGGCGAGACAAGAGAGATCTGCAACACCATGTGGGCATCTCCGCAGCCGACCGGGATGGAACCTGAACTGCAGAGGCTAAGGACAACTCCGCAGTGCTGCGCTCAACAGCCTGTGCCACCAGGGAGGCCCATATATAATGTCTTGGTGCAAACTGCTGTTTGGGGTTAAGAAGCATATGGATTCCTTGCACAATTTGGTACTCATGTAACCCAAAAAATACCCCATTTTGAAGCAAGTCCATCTCCTCTGGTTGTAGTCAAAGGTTAGTCCCCCCACTCAAACTTCTGATTTTTTAAGAAAAAAAAAAAAAGGGGGGGGGTGTCAGGGAAGTTGGAGGTCTGCATATAAAGATTAGAAAATTATAATCCACACAAGAATGACAGTCAAAGTGACTATTTTAAAAAAGCAGTGTGCTTACTTAATTTTGCTCAGAGCTAAAAAGAGGGAAAATCTGGTTAAAAAACTGAACCAGAATCCCTGAACTGGCTCCATTCCATTTCACCAACATAGCAAATCTTGGAAATCTTCTTGCTTTGCAAATGCACTACTTAAAACAATAGCGACCCACTATTTATGGGTGGAAAAATTTTCAATGCATTATCTGAATAAAAAGGGTGAACTAGACATGCTTTTCAGACAAATCAAGAAGAGACACCTGAAACTGTTTATCAAGGTACTGGACCCAGAACAAACACAAATGTTCTAAGTTGCAATGTTTGAGTCCTTGTGTAACATGTCTTCTTGCCCATCGCTGCTGGATTTTTATCTAATACTGAAATACCAGGCTAGTTTCCAAGTCTTTGATAACACATTTCTTTGGTGCAGTTGTTGAACTGTGCTATCTAACTCAACTGTAAGATACAGATACAGTTCCACATTTATATAATTGTTTTAAGGGAGGACAGAATTCCTGTAACTTTCATAATTTGTGTAAGTAGGGTACTATTTATTGAGACATTTTAGTGTCCTCTCAGATGTACAGGACCAAGTCAGTGAGCTCCAGCTGAATCCTCCACCAATCCCTGGAAACACTACTAGTTAAATGTATTTCTATATAAATGGAAATAACATTAAGATGCCTTCCCCATCTTAAACAGCTAATATAAATGAATGTGCAACATTATCCAAACAAAAAGTGTTATTTTAATCCTAAAATGCTAATAAGATACAGGAAACTAGTCTTTAGTAGACATGATGATGAATTTATTAGCCATGAAAGAGCTCAATTAGGAGAGCTGTGAATGGACTAGTTTTTACTATGCCCTAAGGGAGGTCAAGGTACAGAAGCAAGAACCAAAGGGGTTATTTCAGAACTTGTAACTGGAAACAAATCCTCTGGGGGTGTGGGGGTGGTGAAATAGCAACAGAAACTCTTTGCTAAACAACTGTCCACAGGATACCAGAAGTCTCCAAATTAGCTGATAAGAAGGGCACTATCCAAATAACCAGGATTTGGGAGATCGATTAATTTATAAATATATCATTTAAGCAATATTAAAAGCAGTCATTTACATCACATTATTTTGTCATATACTGGAATTAGCAGCAAGATGAACATTTGATTTAAGAGCAGTAGCCTCTAAACCTCAGTCTTTTTTTTTTTTTTCCCCAAAGATTTATTTATTTATTTATTTATACAAGCACTGGGTACAGTCAGAAGCGCGGGAGGGTGAGAGAATTCACCAGAGCCAGAGCAGGGAGCAGAACAGGCAGAAGGACCGAAGTACACTGCTGAGGGGAGCAGTGGGCGGCAGGAGAGGTCTGCACGCCATGAGGGACCCTCGCTGGCGGCCGGGGATCGAACAGGCCCTACAGAGGCTGTGGGCAGCTTCGCAGCCCAGCGCTCAACCGCTGCACCACCAGGGGAGGCCCTAAACCTCAGTCTTCTAAGAGATACTTCTAAAACGATTTCACAGAGTTGTCAGAATGAAAGAATAGAAACCTGCTGAGGACAGTGTTTGGCGAGAGTACACAGGAGGTGTCAGGTCTCAACCTCCCTCTGCAGATAAGCCACCCATCATCTGCTTAGCGTACGTCTTTGGCGACACAACTTTTAGCTTTTCTGTCACCTCACCACACTTGCTTTCTTTCTCTACTCCAGCTACACCCTTAAAACCCTGCCCCATACTTTCATCCCACTGTCCCCGCAGCCTCCTGAAATATTTCTGATTTACCTCATTCTGCAAGCTACAAATTAGTGTTCCCTTCCTTGAATTTCTAAAGCACATGGAAGAGCTCAGTCAGGAGAGCTTTGAATGACTGGTTTTCACAATGTCTAAAGGAAGATCAAGGTGCAGGAGACAGAACCAAACTCCCTCCCCTCCCCTCCATTCAACCAACTAGCCTTATTTTATTTTTTTAAAGATTGATTTATTTATGCATGTAAGAGCTGGGGTACAGGCCAGAGAAGCAGGGGGTGAGAGGATTCACCAGAGACAGAGTGGAGAGCAAAACAGGCAGACTGAAATACACTGCTGAGGGGAGCAGCAGGTGAGACAGGAGAGGTGTGCTGTGCCATGTGGGTTTCTCTCTGGCCCGCCAGGGATCGAACTCATGCTGCAGAGGCTGCGGATTGCTTCATAGTGCAGTGCTTAACCCCTTGCGCCACCAGGGAGGCCCCAACTAGCCTTATTTTTGATACATACAATATGCAAGCCACACTCACATAAATGTATGGATTGAGGGGAAACCTGCTAAATATATCCCAATGGTTTTTTGGTAGGTCTAAAACCTCTTATACAAGTTTATGAAACAGGGCCTCCCCTGGTGGCGCAGCGGTTGAGTGCTGGGTTGTGAAGCCGCCCGCAGCCTCTGCAGCGCCGGTTCGATCCCCGGCCTCCAGCGAGGGTCCCACATGGCACGACAGACCTCTCCTGTCTCGCCCACTGCTCCCCTCAGCAGTGTGTTTCATCTGTCTGCCTGTTCTGTTCCCCGCTCTGGCTCTGGTGAATTCTCTCACCCTCCTGCGCTTCTGACTATACCCAGTGCTTGTATAAATAAATAAATAAATCTTTAAAAAAAAAAAAGTTTATGAAACAGATTGCAGATTGTAGTTAAGCCAGTCGACAAATATTTACTGAGCAAGCACTTAAAATCTATCAGGTCCATGCTTCGTGCTGGTGACAGAGCAGTCAATGACACAGAGACAAGGTCTTTGTCCCCATCTTGCTGAGAAGGCAAATCGTATGCAAACTGGGGGTTAGGGGTAGGGCTGGGATGCCTAACTTATTAGTACTTCTGCAATCGGGATCACAGGGCTTGAATTCCCGGCTACTGACTGGCCATGAGACCTCTGAGCAAAGGAGAATAGGACTTACCATTTAAAGACTCAATATAGTACACCAGGAGTACTCAGTAAATGTTACACAGCCAACTAGTAGTACAAGTAAGCATTAGTGCCAATTGTTAAGGAAAACAAAGGTATTTCCTTATATGCTTTGGAGGCTTATTGTAAGAGACATCACTAGTGTAGGAGTCAAGGAAAAATGTCTTAGTAAATGACCTTTAAACAAAGATGAGTAGAAACCAGTTTGACAAAGAAAGGTGAGGAGCGTGTGTTCAGGCAAAGGAAACAGGGAAATCCAGAACTGGTGGACTGGGGCGAGCTCAACAGAGCCCTTGTCAAGTAGCGCCTTGTGGACAAGAGCAAATCAAAGAGCTGTAGCGTACAAGCTTTTTTAAAAGATCACCCTGGGCCTCCCCGGTGGCGCAGCGGTTGAGCGCTGGGTTGCGAAGCTGCCCGCAGCCTCTGCAGCACCAGTTCGATCCCCGGCTGCTCCCCGGCCACCAGAGGAGGGTCCCACATGGCGCGCAGACCTCTCCTGCCGCCCGCTGCTCCCCTCAGCAGTGTACTTCGGTCCTTCTGCCTGCTCTGCTCCCCGCTCTGGCTCTGGTGAATTCTCTCACCCTCCCGCGCTTCTGACTGTACCCAGTGCTTGTATAAACAAACAAACAAACAAATAAATAAATAATACATGCCTCTTTAAAAACAAAACAAAAAAATAATAAAAGATCACCCTGACTATTGCCCAATGTAGTCAACTCGAGGGGGGCAGGAAAGAGGGCAGAACACTAGTAAGAGCCATAGTGCTGCAGTCCGGGCATGAGATCGACAAGACGATGATCATTTCCAGCATCTGGTCCAGGACAACAGCCCGGGAGAACAAGACAAGCAGAGGAACTAGTTGTTTGGTTGGTAAAAATCAACAGACAGGAATAAGAGCTGGTGGAAAGACCAAGGATAGTGCGGGGATTCTTACAGCTGGGGAGACAGATGAGTGTCACTGCGAGAGTGAGAAAGGAAGGGGACAGGACTGTTGGACAATGCAAAGGGGCCAGCTGAAGCTGGTGACGACGAAAGTATAGTGATGCCAATGTGTCCAACAGGGCACCACAGAAAAACTCATCCAGACAACTGATAGGGAAGAACAGGTAGTATAATGACAAGTGAATGGGTAAAATGATGAATCATTAGATCTAAGAGAATATGGACAAAGGGTTGTTAAATCCCACTAAATTTTACAGATTATTCTAATTAGTTAAAATGATACTATTGTCTAAAGTATTATATGAAATAGTCAGCTGGCTAAGCTAATATGCCCTCTTTAATGTTTACCATTTATTGAACTTGCTAAATATCTAACACAATGTTCATAACTCCGTGAAGCAGGTGAGAAAGCTGGTATTATATGAGGCTGATGATTTGCCAAAGGTGATGCAATACATGTAACTGAAATCGAGTCTCAGCTGCCAAATCTTTTATAGTCTTCATTTTTTTTTAAAGATTTATTTATTTATTTATACAAGCACTGGGTACAGTCAGAAGTGCGGGAGGGTGAGAGAATTCACCAGAGCCAGAGCGGGGAGCAGAACAGGCAGAAGGACTGAAGTACACTGCTGAGGGGAGCAGCGGGTGGCAGGGGAGGTCTGCGTGCCATGCGGGACCCTCCTCCAGAGGCCGGGGAGCAGCCAGGGATTGAACCGGCGCTGCAGAGGCTGCGGGCAGCTTCGCAACCCAGTGCTCAACCGCTGCGCCACCGGGGAGGCCCTACAGTCTTCATTCTTGACAGTTTTCCCTATAGTCCTTAAGTCTAAATCTTTAATTTGCTCCCTCCAAATTCTAAGCCAAATACACATTTCTTGTAAAGAAAGATGCCTGGTGTGGGGTTCATCTTACCTGAAGGCAACAATTTGGACCACAAGCTCTTGGGATAGAACACCTGGGTTTGAAGCTGGACTCCCTACTCACATGTTTCTATACGACCCTCTGTGTGTCACTGTCCCTGCTTATAGTGATGATTGAGGCTATTGTGTAAAAAGCACTTAGCAAAGTGTCTGACACATAGTAAGTAAGAACTCAACATATATAACCTAGTTCTGTTACTGTCCCTTCAAATACAGCTGTCATTCTTCCCAGGCATAGTTTTCTCTCTCACACAACCCCTCGTCTGTTCTCTGAAATACATTGCTTTTTAGTCTCTTTAAGGGTAAGAAATAATACAGATAACTCATCTTTAACGTATCTACAGTCCTCTTACCAGTTTTACTCTTCCGTAAACATGCTCAGACCCCTCCTACTTGAAGAGTACATACAGGCATATAAAACCTGAATTCTGCTCCATCCCCTTGTCTAGCTGTCAATCACAACCCCCCCCCCCCCAGCACACTTCTCTTCATAGTGACTGAAACAGCTTTTGAAAGTTGCCAAGGATCTTGCCTTCATCCTCTTGTTAGAAGGGCTAGACACATTTTACTTGGAATTTATGCTTGGACTTCTCCCTTGATTTCCAAAACAATATTCTTTCCTCCTCATCTAACTGTTAGTTTTACAAACCAAGGTGTTTCTTTCTCTTCCTTTCTTACTCTTAATGAACTCATGAGACCTCACTTCTGTGCTTATCAATCTCTGACCATATCCCCATATCCTGCCTGCCACTCAAGGAAGCTCTGCCTGTAGAACATGTCTGCCATCGCACACCTGAAAACTTAAAAGATATTAGAAAATGAAACTCGCCTTCCCCATCCCCTGCAGGGAAGCAAGGGACAAGAACGCCTTCCTCTCCTTTTCAACTACTGCAGTTCCGTTAAGAATACCTTCCTCCCATTCTTACAGGCATTTTAAATTCTCCCATCTCCTTCAAGCTCCACTTGTCAGTAACCTCCTCTAAAATGTTCTTTGTATTGCCCTTCCTTTTCTATTTCCATCAGAGTACTACCCAGGCAACCAGGGTAGGTAATGCTACGAGAGTCATCGCACCAAAACCACACTTCTGTAGCTCTCAAACCTACAATGGTCTGAAGTCTTCCCCATCAAATACAAACCTGCTTTTAACGACTGAACATAAGTGAACCCCCCCCTCCACATAACCTAACTAAACTTGTTCTCAACTTGTTTTATCTTCGCATGTGATTAAAAATCTTAGTGTTCCGAGTGTGCCTTATTTAGGGATCACTGGGCTCAGTTCTTTCATTTTAGAAATGCGGCAATCATGATTCAAGGAAGTTGTGACAAGCCTGCGGTCACAAACACGGTAGGAGACCCAGAAGTGCCCAGAAAGGCCAAGTGTTGTATCTTCACTAGATGATCCCCACTATGACCATGCAGATCCTGAACATATGCCCACTTTCAGGCTTCTGCTTTGGGTGACACCCTCCACTCTCCCAATCCCAGTGACCCTTCAAGGCTCAGGTCCAGGCCTATAGCCTCCTTCCTGACATTCCCAGCTACACCTCTCTTCTCTTCACCTGTGCTCCACTTAGAACCTGCGCTTTCTGTTCTGCATATAACTGTCCTGTAGGTATTCAACTCCACTAAAGCCCTATCAGCTAACAGGCAGCCTCTTAAGAACTGGAACAAGCTTTTCACCCTGTAGCCTCCGCAACATTTAACAGCTACAGGAGACAAAACATGCAAGTCATTAAAAATAAGGAAATAACAGACCGTCTAGACTTGAGAGGCATTCATTCGACTAGAATGCCCCTACATAAATTGGCGAGTACGATGTTTCCAGCTAATTACTGTTCAAATCAATTTAACAACCAGAATGGCAAAATATACTTACTGTCATGAAATACTATCAGAACCGTGTTGTCAGTGGTGTTCAAGGCACCTGTCAAAAAGGTGTCTAATCTTTGCCCAATTCACCCTAGAAGATAAACATCAATTAGTAGTAAAAATGCATAGCCTACCAGCTTGCTTCCTAGTAAACCTAAAGGTATGTATAATTTCACCTACTACTGTTATTCAATGGCATGTGAGGCATAAAAAAATGGGAAAAAAAGGCACCCAATAAATGTTTGTTAATTTGGAAGATTTATTTTAGAGAACTTCACTTTAAAAAGTTAATTCCATGGGGGGGGGTACTGCTTTTCCAACATAGCCCTGGATTAGTAATGTTCAACACAAATATTCATCACAACACACCAAATTATGTAATATGCAAGAGACCAAAAATTATACATCTAAACTACTTAAAATAGTAACACCCCACTTACCCACTTAATTACGAAGGGATGGTTTTCTTATCAAAAGGGGAGAAAAATCTGTCTCAGAATATAATGCTTTTACATTAAATATCTCAGTTTAGAGGGGAAAGATACAAGCTGCCCAGAGAACATACACAGAACAACACAGTCACTTAAGACCTTTATTTATACTTTTTAAAGCACCACCACCATTTTGGAATAAAACTGCAATCTGAATTGCAATTGCTCTTCATTCTCACTGTAAAACATAAAAGGGCTGAATAAATGGGTATCGATTACAATGTTACAATCTCCATTTCTCATTTGCTCTTTTCCTCTTTTCAAGTGAAACAATTAAGTGGGGGGAGGGAGTGTCAACAAAAACCCATTCTTTCAGTGTTAATTTTAAAGGAAGAAAAAAAATACTGATGCATTCTAGCATGAAAATCTAGTGACTAGTAGAAAAAATTTCAGCCCCTGGACTGAATTTTTAAAATGCCATTACAAGGATCCAGACAGCAAAGACTGGCTCACATTGTCCAGACTGCCATAACCTTAAAAACATTATCTGATTTTTCCCCAAATATTGGCCTCTTCCTAACCCCAAAACGACCCACAAAATCCCTTCCTTGGAGCTGGAAGTGTTATTTTTTTAAGTGTCTTTGGGGAAAAATCTCACAGAACACTGAAAATACAGAAGCTGTATTTCTGTATTTTGCTGGGGGGGTTGTGGGGGTGGGGTGGGGTGAATAAACTCACCACAATCCCTCACCTAAACAGTTGGGTAATATATTTAGCTTCAACATATTAAAGAAAACCACTATCACTTCACATGGCATCGATTTCCTTGAGGGCAGGTTCTCTATGGGAAAGCTCCAGGGAGGCATACATCTGTTTAATGTTTGAAGAAATGCAAATTTGTATCCAAGAAAAGCAGCAGACGCTCCCCTCCACCCTCCATTCTTTGGCGTCAACACCAGAGTTGTGCAGCGATACGGTCCTAAAGATGAAGCTCCGAGAGCCGAGCGGGGCAGGAATAATGGCCTTTTAAGGAATTCGGGTTAACTTTCAATACTTTCCACAGCGAAACCCGATTTCTGAGCGCCCCTGACACCGACCAGTTTACCTCCTCACTGGACGCTGCTGCTGAGCCTCCCAGCTAGGAGCCTCAACCACCCACCCCGGCGATCCGTGGCAGGAACCACGAACTGGGGCGCCCCGGCGGGCTGGTGGGATGCTCGGCCCCCGCCCCCCCAAAGGTCGAGCGCTAGCTAACCTTGTTTAAATTACCTTGTCCTAGTACTTTGAGGGCGATTACGACTTGGGGGTGCTCTGTGCAATTCTTTGTTCTCCGCCAATACTGCTCCCGAGGCCCGGCGCAGCCCCCCGCCTCCCACCCAAGGGGGGAACCTCAGTGCCCCCCGGCAGGCTTCCTCCCACGCCCGGGGCGAGCCCGCGCACCCCAAGCCGCCAGATGGCCGCACTCCGCGCGCGGGCCGGGCTGCGGGGCGGCCCCTCCACGCCGCCTCCCGGGACCTCGCCGCCTCCCGGGCCGGGCGCGCGGGCCGGCGCGGGCCCCCAGCCCGCCGGGCCGACCTGTCAGCGCCGCCGGCGCGCGCCGGGCGCCCCTGGCGCGCATCCCCCGCCGCGCCCGGCCCGGCCCAACGCCCGCCCGCCCGGGGCCCGCGGACAAAGCGGCCCGGCCCGGCCCCCTCCGGCGGGCGGGCGGCAGGGCGGGGGGCCGGGGGGCGCCCCGGGACCCCCGCGCGGCGCCGGGCCCAGGGGCCGGCGCGGCCCCCGCCCCCCGCACAAAATGGAGCCGGCGCGGGCGCCGCCGAGAGGGGCCCCCGCCGGAGCCCGGCGCCCCCGCCAGGCCCGAGCGCGGCCGCGGGGAGCGGGAGGCGGCCCGGCCCGGGCCCGCCGCTCCTCGCCCGGCGCACAAAGAGCCGCGCCGCGGCCCGCGCCCGGCCCGGCCCGGCCCGGCGCGGCGGCCTCGCAGGCCCGGCCGCGGGAGGCGCGCGGGAGGGAGGCGAGTGCCCCCGGCCGCGGCGGCGTTGGCGGCGGGGACGGCGCCGGGAGGAGACGGACATTTCATTCGAGCTAAAGTGGAGTCGGTTTAGGAGCGATCATTGGCCGAAGCGAGACACAAACCTCCAATGCAGCCCTGGTTGGCTCCCGTCTCCAATCGGCTGTTTGGTTGGACAGAAAATGGCTGCGAAGGAACCAGTCCCAGCGCGGAGCTCCGCTTCCAGGACTCGGCCTCCCCTCCCTCCGCCGCGGGCCGCTTCCCTCGGCGCGACACCCTCCCTCCGCGCCTCCCGCGCGCGCCCCGCCCCGCCCCGCCCCGCCCCGCCGCGCCCCGCCGCGGCCCCGCCCCGCGCCCGGGCGCGCGTCCTGCGGCGGCGGCGTCGCTCCGGCCGCCGACCCCCGGCCGCGCTCGGCCTGCGGGGGCCCCGGAAGCGGGAGGGCCGCGCGGGCCTCTCCCCTCAGCGCGCCCGCGGCCTGGGCCCGCGCGGAGTCTCAGGCCGCCCTCCTCGCGGGCCCCTCGCGGGACAGGCCCGCCCGCCCGAGCCCCCCCGCGCCCGCGCCCGCACGCCCGAGAAGGGGAAGCCAAGGGCGCCGGCTCCGGCGCGGGCGCCGCGGTCACCTCAGGGCCGCCCGCCGCGCCGCGCGCCGCCCCGGCGTCCCGGCTGCCACAGCTCGGCGCGCGCTCGCCCGGGCACCGCGCGGGGGCTCGTTTCCCCGGTTTCCTCTACGGACGCCGTCCTCTCCCTGCGGCTGAGCTGGCCGGTCAGTCCAGTCAGCTTTTACCTCAGCCCGAAAGTGCCGCGTTCCCTGCCCGCGCCGCCCCGTCGGGGATGCCGCCCCGCGCGGGGCTTTCCCCCGGCAGCTGGCATCGGGGCTGCCAGACGAAGGCTGTTTCTCGCCTCGGTGCGGCCGCGCTCCCTCGCGGTCTTTGCGGGGCTGCAGACAGGGTGGGATGGGCCACCACACGCGCTGGCCGGAGGACAGGCGCGTTTCTGCAGCGGGAGCCGGCATGGCCGGCCCCTGACTTGCACCGAGCAACGGGCCGGGAGCCACGTTGAACGTTCCAGCTTTAATAATTTAAAAATATATTGACGTGTGTTTTTGTAGAGCGCCTGCTGTTTCTGCGCCTATTTTAACATCTCCGAGGCAAATAAGGAAGCAAAGACAAGTGGGAGTCCCTAAATTGTGCCAGGAGTGCAGGGTGGCACCCGAAAACCTGATTTGGAGTCCAGCTGCCCCTCTTACGGGCTTGGGGCGCTGGGCAGATGTTTTTAGTTCTCCCGTGAACGCTTCCTCCCCTCTGTAGGGGGGAATGTTAGCTGCTGCTTAGTTGTTTGAAGTTAATTGAAAGTAAGTGAACAGAGAAAGTCCTGAAAAGAAAAAATGTTGACACATTATCTTTTTTTTTTTTTTTTAAAGATATTTTAATTTCAGCACTCCATCAGAAGCTGAGAGGATTCAAGAGCCAAAAAAACAGACTGATGAAATTGCTGAAAGCAGGTGGCAGGAGGTCTGCACCCATGCGGGACCCTCCTCCGGTGAGCAGCCTGGGATTGAACCGGCGATGCAGAAGCTGCGGGCAGCTTCGCAACCAGTGGGCTACGCCACGGGGAGGCCCTGACACATTATCTTTATAGGGTATGAATTTCAGACTCCATCAAGCCATTTGCTGAAAAAGGAGGTTTTTCCCTTTGAAATTCTCCCTGTTAGAGGCGGGACCAGGTTCCTCGCGCTGTCCTGGGGATGAGGGGCGGAGCCAGCGGCCAGGTGAGGCTGTAGGATAGGGCATCCAGGTGAGGCTGTAGGATAGGGCATCCTGGTGAGGCTGTAGGATAGGGCATCCAGGTGAGGCTGTAGGATAGGGCATCCAGATGAGGCTGTAGGATAGGGCATCCAGGTGAGGCTGTAGGATAGGGCATCCAGGTGAGGCTGTAGGATAGGGCATCCAGGTGAGGCTGTAGGATAGGGAAGGCAGGTGGCTGGGAAGGAGAGCGCGCATTCCTGTGGACTGAATTACAGCCTGCGTCTACTGGGAAGGAGACACATGGAGGAGAGAACTGACAGCACAGAAAACAGGTAGGTGAGAGAGAGTGGCAGCCATTATCTTGATTTGTATTTTTGCGTCTCTCCTTTTGTCCCAGGCTTGCCTGCCCCTTTCACCCACTTCCTGTGGTTCCCTGCCAGAAGGTGCCTTAGACTTGGTGGCAAGCTTTTGGGCCTATCCTGTTTAGCTGAGCTTTTGCCCAGGAGGGGATGGGTGATTTGGGATATTTTATTGTGAAACTATCCTTTCTTCTTTTTTCTCTCTATGCACACTAATGTCATTGAAGTTTTTGCACACTAAGAGTTTGCTTGGTCTTTGTGTACATGGATAGCCGGACCCTGTTAGAACGTGCAAGTTTAAGGGTCCCTAGGTGCCCCTTGGTGGTAAGCTGACATCCCTTTTAACTATGATTACCGATAATGAGAAGTTTTAGGAGTGAAATGAAGTGCTCAGAGACAGAAGATACAAAAAAAAAAAAAAGTTGTAGAATTGGGAGAAATGGCTAATCCACTTACTGGACAATAAGCCCAAAGATGCAAAGGTGACTGCTTTTACTGAGCTACTATGTCAGTTCCCACTGTTATCTAATCTCCATGGTTTATTAAGATTCAGTGAAAGGCTATTTAGTGCCTAGTGCTAAGCAGGCACAGTGCTAGGAACCCCAGGGCTCTGAAGGTGAATAGCACTCTCCTTCCCCTTCAAGACCAAACATTGTCACTTCTCTAAAAAGTGCTATTCAAGGGCCTCCCCGGTGGCGCAGCGGTTGAGCGCTGGGTTGCGAAGCTGCCCACAGCCTCTGCAGCACCGGTTCGATCCCCGGCCGCTGGGCGAGGGTCCCACATGGCATGCAGACCTCTCCTGCCGCCCGCTGCTCCCCTCAGCAGTGTACTTCGTCACTCTATCTATTCTACTCTCCGCTCTGGCTGTGGTGAATTCTCTCACCCTCCCACGCCTCTGACTGTACACAGTGCTTGTATAAATAAATAAAATAAAATAAAAAAAAAAAAAATAAAATAAAAAGTGCTATTCAAGGTCCCTACCCCCAATTCTGCCATAACTTTTTATTTTCTTTTTTTAAAAGATTTATTTTAATATGCATACAAGAACTGGGGTACAGGCCAGAGGTGTGGGCGGTGAGAGGATTCACCAGAGACGGTTGGGAACAGAACAGGCAGATTGAATGAAATACATTGCTGAGGGGAGCAGCAGGCGAGTCAGGAGAGGTCTGCTGTGCCATATGGGTAGCTCCCTGGCCAGCCTGGGGATCGAACTCATGCTGCCATGGCTGCAGACAGCTTCATAGGTTGCATCTTAACCCCTTGCGCCACCAGGGAGGCCCAACTTTTTATTTTCAATCACATGTTCCATCTTCTAACATAGTGTAGAATTTCCTCATTTATTTTGTTTATGGTTTACTGTCTCTTCCCACTAGAATGTACGCTTTGTGAGGGCAAAGTCTTTTGTTTGTTTTATTCACCAGGACATCCTGAGCAAAGAGTAGGTTCTCAATAAATATGTGTTGGAATTTTAACAGGCAATTTAATACATACCATTAATTTACATCAATAAAATAAATGATTTCCTCATTGGCATATGATTTTTCATGTTCTTATTAGCATATAAACCCTTTGAGTACAAAGACTTTATGATCACCTATATTCTTAGTCCCTGCAACAGAAAATAGGAACTCTATAGGTACATGTGAAATGTGTGGAATGAAAGCATAAGCAGACATTGGGTCAAGTTATTTTAATAGATAATATAAAAGACCCTGAAATTACCAAACCCTTTTATGTCATTTTTCTCCAGAGAAAGTTAATAAACTTATGTTAAACTCCACAAATTACTATGAAGTGTTAAAAATATTTAAAATATATTCATCATTATTTCTCCATGAATTGGGTGAGCTAATATAAAAGATAATCAAAATAGCGTTGATCAGACCCAAAGAAAAGGCAACAAGATGATTTTCCTTTCTAAGGTTGCTGAGTCAAGGATCAGAGGAAAACTTGTCTTTAATAAGAAAGAAGGGCAGAACAAAGGACACAGAAACATCAATTCCAAAGAGCACCTGCACCCCTATGTTTATAGCAGCACTGTTTACAATAGCTAAGCTTTGGAAACAACCCAAATGCCCAAAAATAGATGACTGGATCAAGAAGATGTGGTACATATACACCATGGAATATGACTCAGCAATCAAAAAAGATAAACACATGCAATTTGCAGCAACATGGATGGCGCTGGAAGGGATCATGCTCAGCGAAATAAGCCAAAAAGAAAAAGAAAAATACCGGATGGTCTCACTCATAGCAGGAATCTAGAAAACTTAAATAAGGAACCAGGAAAATGAATATAAGAAAGTGAAAATCAAA